GAGACGGGAGGGGGGACAGGAGACGAGGCGGGGGACAGGAGACGAGGGTAGGGACAGGAGATGAGAGGACAGGAGACGGGAGGGGGGACAGGAGACGAGGCGGGGGACAGGAGACGAGGCGAGGGACAGGAGATGAGAGGACAGGAGACGAGGGGAGGGACAGGAGACGAGGGTAGGGACAGGAGACGGGAGGACAGGAGACGGGAGGGGGGACAGGAGACGAGGCGGGGGACAGGAGACGAGGCGAGGGACAGGAGATGAGAGGACAGGAGACGAGGGGAGGGACAGGAGACGAGGGTAGGGACAGGAGACGGGAGGACAGGAGACGGGAGGGGGGACAGGAGACGAGGCGGGGGACAGGAGACGAGGCGAGGGACAGGAGATGAGAGGACAGGAGACGGGAGGGGGGACAGGAGACGAGGCGGGGGACAGGAGACGAGGCGAGGGACAGGAGACGAGGGGAGGGACAGGAGATGAGAGGACAGGAGACGGGACGGGGGACAGGAGACGAGGCGGGGGACAGGAGACGAGGCGGGGGACAGGAGACGAGGGGAGGGACAGGAGACGAGGCGGGGACACTCCTTCCTGTGTTTGAGCCCATCTATCTGCCCTCTTCTGTTTTTGTTCAAACAGGCTTCAGATGAATGAAGCTGACAGTCGGACGTGTCTATTTCCTGGATCACAACAGGACAAACTGCACAGATAATAGACAAGAGAATAGCTCTTATTGCCCCTCCCCCCTGAAAAAAGCATTTAATGTTTACCAGCACTTCTGTTCTCGTCTGTTAACAATAAACTCAAACCACAGGTCAAATTTAAAAGACTCATACAGAAAGTTACTGCTGACTGTTGGTCAGACCCATTCAAGATGGCCGCCACAGCTAAACACAGACAGCTGTAACTCAGCCAGTGACAGATATCAACTGGTAAATATTCTAATAATCTCAAGCTTTTATAAAGCTGCAGGTTTTAATTCTGTAACTGACTTCTATTAAAGGGGTGAATCATGTAAATTCAACTTTTTTTGAGTTTTATATCAGGTTATAACTAAATCCCACACAGCGGTAACATAATGACCCCCGCACGCACAAATGCACCAGAACTCAGGTCTTTATTCCTAATAAAGGTCATGGTACCAGATGCATCCCAAAATTGTAGTGGTTTGGGTGGGGGTCTTTTTTTGGGGTGAGGTTGGGGGGCATTGGTTGACCTGATGGATGGTCGATTGAATTGATCTGAATTTATTTTCATTCAAATTTGGGGAAATCAATTCATAAGTCATGAGATGGATTTTCCCCCATGGGTGCTGTGTGTGATGTGTTTGTGTGTCACTCCTGGCTTGCCGTAAGTTTACAGCTGGTTGATGGTCAGCGCTAACGTTAGCTCCTGACAACAAGTCGTCTGGATCAAAACAAAAGAATCACTAACGTTACAGCTGATTCTCAGCAGGACTTAAAGAAAACAGAGATCATGATGACTTGTTTGTAAAGATTTGCGCTCAGAGTTAGCAGGAAATGAAGCTTCGAGCAACTCGAACCAAAACTACAGTATATAAACATCTGACTGAAACTGTTCTCCTGTTTAAATGTGTGAAAGATGACAGTCTAACTAAATCGTTTAGTTTTGTTACCAATATTATTTATAAATTTTAGAAACATCTTAATGGCAGAAACCACCGGCAGGGACTAGAACCTCCTTCTGGGACCAGCTCCTCCTCTGTGTCTCCAAGCTGAGCACACACACACACACACACACACACACACACACACAC